TGCTGCTGCTCTCAGCTTCTGATATTTCTCTGCTCATCGATCTTTGGAGCATCGCTGTGGAAACGGGCACAACTCCAGCAGCGTTCCCCGAGGCCTGGAAAGTGAAATCAGGATTGTGCTGGTGCTGCTCCAGAGGCAGAAGGCTTCTGGTGGTGGCCATGTGCTGTGTGGGAACTGGGGATGAGGAGGGATGGGTGTGGGCTGTAGGAGGGGAGTGTGATGCTGCAGCCCCCCATATCTAGAGGATGAGCATCCAGTTGTCATGCTCCCATAAAGGAGATCTGGGGTCTGCACTTTGCAGCAGAGCAGGTCAGGGCCCTGCAGCCACCTCCCAGATCCCAAAAGCCCTCTGAAGGGGAAGGGGAAATGGAAGGAGCCCTCGAGTTCCCGGCTTCAAAGGGATCACATGCAGAGCCAAATAGGGCAGGAAGCAGGGGATGGGCTGCTGAGCACTTGCTGCTCCAGTGGTGCAGGGGAGAGGCACAGAGAAGGCTGAGACGAGAGTGGGAAGGGGCCCATACAAAGATATGAAGATATGGGGCTGCTGCTGTATAAAAACTGGATTTCTGGGTGCACTATCCAACTAGATGCACTGAGAGGGAGCGAGGAAGCGGGAGCAGAGCATGAAGCAGCACTGCAGGAGAGAGATGCCTGGGGGGAACAGTGCTGTGAAACATGGTACCTGCAGGACGTGGCAGTGCCTGGAGGGAGGAGAGCAGCAGGGGGTACCTGAAGGAGTGGCAGCACAGAACATGGCACCTGGAGGACGTGGCACTGCGGGGAATCGGTACCTATAGGCAGCAGCGCAGTGGGGAACGGTGCTCACTGGGAACGGCGCCGTGGGGGGACGACACCTGGAGAGAGCATCGCCACGGGGCACAGCACCTGTGGGGAGCAGTGCTGTGGGGAGCCACGCTGCTGGGGAGCGGTACCTGGAGAGAGAGGAAGAGAATGGCAGCTGGCAGCAGGACGGCAGTGTGGAATGGGGAGATGGGGAGAGCGCTGTGGGTGGTAGTGCCAATGGGTGTGAGAGCTTCAGGTGGAAAACTCGAGGAAGTGATGGTGCTGCAATGGCTCTGGTGAGCTGAGGTGAAGCGGGGGAATGGTGTTGGTATGAGGGAGCTGTTGGGAAGAGCAGCACCAGGGATCAGGAGATCCCACGGGATGTGGGCAGGGACGGTGGTGCTGTTGGAATGGGATGCCATGGAAGGTCATCACTGTAAGGGATGTCCCAGCAGTGGTCAGCAGAGCCTTGAGGGCTTAGTGCAAGAGGAGCGGTGTTTTCATGTGTCTGCACCAGGGAACAGAGATGGTAAAGCTGCCAACGTCCTGCTTAGCCAAAGGAAAGCTGCGTGGAAAGAAATTCTTGGGTCAGGTGTAGTGCTGCTGGGCTCTGAGCAGGAGCGGCTGGCTGAGTTAGATGCTGATGTTCTCTGTGCCATCAGGTGGGGAAGATGACTCTTTGCAATGTAACACTTCAGGAACGCATCCTGCTTTGCCTTCAAGCTACTCCCCGCATCTCTGCAGCCCTGAGCCTCCCTGCTCCCTCCTTGCATGCTGTGCTTCCTTCTTCTTCCTCCAGGCTTCTTTGCACCCTCTGCTGTGCCCTGCTGCCTCGTACCCTCAGTCCCATGTTCCTCCATCCCAGAGCTGCTCCTCTGCATCCCCTCACCCCCAAACTCACAGCCACATGTGCTGTAGCACCCCTGCTCCCCCAGCCCTGCACACCACGCTCTTGGTGATGATGTCTGATGTGAATGGAAGAAGCAAATCAGACCATGAACACTGGAGATGGTGGCACAAAACCGTGCTCCAGGCCGGCTCTCAGCATGTGTTGAAGATACTTGGCTTATGGTGGGTGAGGGACCCCCAGCCCATCTACTGCAGGAGATGGAAGTGCTGCTGAGTGATGCTGCCTGCTTTTGTCTCCTCCCTAATGGTACTCCAGTGCACTGCTGAAATCCCCCATGAAGAGCAATAAAACTACTAGAAGAGTCCTTGCGAGAGGGAAACAGAGAGATAATTAGCAGCAGCACCAATATGTGTCTCTTCCCAAAGGAGACTGCCCGGCACAGCCTCCTGCACAAAGAGCAGAGGTGCCCTGGATGCTGCAGAGCAGGGCTGCGGGAGGGAGCTTCCCCTCCTCCAGGAGGGGCCAGGACCCAGGCGCATCTCTGAATGCATCTCCCATAAAGGCCCTTTTCATCTGAAAAGTTCAAAGGGATGCGACTTTTACTGCCCCGGCTCATTCCTATGCAATGAGGCTGAGCAGCCCCCAGGCAGCCAGAGACAGCCAAGCAATAGAAAGGGAGAAGCCAGCGGGTGCGAATGCCCCGACAAGCACGCATCCCTCCAGGCATGGAGATGCTGATAGAGGGGTAGGCTGACCCTCTGGGGTGCAGTGAGCAGGCTGTGGGAAATGGTGTCTGCCTGGACACCATGGCCAGAACTGGCCCTTTGTGGGCAGAGTTCTCACTGCTGCTTACCCCTAAAGAGTTGTGCTTGCCCGTGGTGGCACATTGAACTCCAGCCCACCGGCATGTGCTGAGAATTAGGCCGTGGGGTCGTGTTTGCAGTAAATTGTGGCTATTCAGGAATTGCACCCTGCCCGTTCCCGGGCTCTGGAAGCAGAGCTGGTTGTGCTTGCGGCACATAATGCGCTCCTTTAGCGGGAGAGCACTGATGCCAGCATCTCACTGCAAGAGACAGCACTGGAAAATGGCTTTCATGCCAGAAATTAACAATGGGAAAAGCAGAATAAAAGATCCTGAACACTGAGTTCCTGCTTGACCCTGTGATTTCTCAGCTGCTATTGGCGCGAGGAAATCTCCATGGCTTTGTTTGATGGAGAGGTGGCATTATTTCTGTCCCATGGCAGACCACCTTCCCTTGGAGCTGGAGCATCCCATGACATGAAAGAGCAGCACCAAGCCCTTCAGAAAGTGGGAATGGTGAGGACTTGTCCCACTTGTGTACTGGGAAAGGAGATGAGAGGTGTTGCTTGTGCAGAAGTGAAAGACAGCACAACATGGCCTTGGTCCAACCAACCAGTGGCCATCCTGTTAGTACTGAGAGGTGAGAACAGGGTTTGATTATTTCTATCTGCAGCTCAGAGAAATAAATGAGGCAGCTCTGCACTTGCCCAGGGAGTGGGAAAACATTTTGTCCATGGCTCTTAGAACAATCCCAAAGACCACAGGCAAGCACAGCTCTCACAGTGACACTTGTGGGCTCTTTGTCCTCTCCGATGCTTGGTCCCTGGCTTTTGCACCCTGCACCGTGAGCATGGCTGTCCCCTGTGCATGGGTTCTTCCATGTGTGCCCATCCACAATGCCAAATGTCCACATAAACCCACCCCAGTGGGTTGTGTCCATGTGTGTGCACATCACCGCAAGCCAGGTGGCCTCGAGCTCTGCGAGTCAGCTGGGAGGTGAGGATGAGGATGGAGAAACACAGCGGCGGCCAAGCAGCTTTGGGAGGCTGGAACCTGAAGGCAGCGGGTGCCATGAGGACATTTGGGGGCTTGCTGCAATGCAATGGGGAGGGGAGCAGGAGGATCCTAGGGTGGGTGTTTGGAGGCTGGGGCTGTGCACTGATATGACCCTCTCGTCCTTTTTCTGCTCCTCATTAGAGTCCCCTGAGCGGAGCAGGCTGTGAAGGGGTCTGCACGGAGGTATGTCCTTGGGGCTGCTGCCAGGATATCGCAGCCAACGTGTGCACCAGGGGATGGGAGAGTTTGGGTTGCAGTGGGTGTTTTTTTAGGGCAAGACATGCTCCCACACTGGTTTGTTGCTTACTATGCCTCTCTCCCATGCCCATCCTGTTAGCTCTCACGTTTGACCCTTTCTACCCATTCCCAGCATCGTAAGAGCTTTCTCCCACAGAGACCTCAGTGTTGCTGGTGCATGAAAGCTGTGCGGGGTGACTTGGGATCACCCATGATCTTAAGCCCCGAGTTGGTGGCAGGAGGGACATGCTGGCAGAGGCAAAGTCTCAGCATAGCATGAAAGGCTACAATTTGCTTCTTGCCAGGGCTGTAGGTCCCTTCAACCTCGTAGTATGAGCAACAGTATAAGCCCTGACCTGCCAGCAGGTGCCAGAGGCAGTGATGTGTCCCAGGCAGTGACAGGGAGCTGTGTTATGCCCAAGCGGGGCAGATAGCAAGAGATGGCTCATGCCTGGAACAGGTCTTGTAAGTATTCTATAGGAATGGTGGGAATTCCAAGCTGGGGCCTCTGAAGACTCTTAGCAAGAGCAGCAAGGCCTGGAAACCTCTGGCATAGTGGACACAAGGCAATGACCTGGTGCTGTTGATGGCCAGAACTTCCCACAAGCAGATCTGATGCCTTGGTATATCTGGAGATCTGGAAAGTTGTTTGGTACACAGAGCAGTTTGGATGCTTCTGGGACAGGGATTCGTGGGTGTCTGACTTCTCTGGGGGTTGGTGTTGGATTGCCCAGCTGTGCTTTGCTCAGGTCTCAAACTGTGAGAGACTGGAAGTTGGCTGAGGACCTCTAGCTAGGCTTGGAAAGGAACCTCCAGTGGGTCCTTGGAACACCTGGTGATGAGCAGAGCTGGTGCTCAGGAAATCTGGATTTACTCAGGGCAGTGAAAAGCCCAGCAAGTTTGGGGCACTTCTTTAAGGACTCCTGATTGCATGGCACGGGACGTCCGATGGGGCTGGGCCGAGGGGTTCATGACTCCTAGGGTGGGCTCAGTGAGCTGTGCTGCATTATGATCCCACCTGCACCCACTGCAGGGTGCTTGTCCTCAGGGACACGGCTGTTGGGAATTATGAGCTCTCTGCTTACATTTTTCATGTCCATGTGTTCAAATGTCCCCTTTGCATCTGCTCCTCTTCCCAAAGGAGAATCAGAATTCCTACCTGGTCAGCTCTGGGGAGAAGGTCCCTACCATGGGGGCTGTACTCCAGCCTCATCCAATCAACCCACTGGGCTTGTCCATGCCTAACAATGCCTCTTGCTTGCTTCTCTGCAGATCTCCGTCCCCTGCCTGATGTAGCCATGACTGGGACCTGTACCCGGGAGTGCACGGAGTTCGGCCACTCCGACACCTGCTGGATGCCCGGCCAATCCTCCCCCAGCCGCAGGCCCAAGAACGCCCTCAAACTCTCCACTTTTGTGCCTTACCAAGACAGAGGGAGTCAAGAGCAAGTCGGGAATGGCAGCCCCAGACTCTCAGAAGAGCGCAGCACCAAAATGGCCAACCTCCGCCTGCTCCCCACGTACAGTGCCTTCTCCAATAGTAGCCATGAGACCTGCAAGGACTCTCCCATGGAGGAAATTCCTCTCACCCAGACCTCGGACTTCCAGCCAGCCACCACCCCCTCATCCCAGACCACCAAGAGGGAGATCTACCTGTGAGGCTGGCCCGAGGGGCGAGGAGCAGACATGCTTCTAAGGCCAGCGTCCTGGAAACATTTGAAACTTGGTTGCTTTATGGGCTCCTGCGGCCAGTTCTGCTCTGGGTGGTGGTGGAGGTGCCCAGGGTCTTCGAGGACAGCAGGCAGGGCGAGGCAGGGATGGAAGGAGCGCCTTTAAAACCCATTCCTTGGGGCGGGTGGGAGGGGTGAAGGCATCTGACTCCCAATTTCCCAGCACTTGCAGATGCGTGTCTCTGAACTGCGTGGTCGGGGAGGCTGGGCAGGCTCCTGGTGCGGAGGGCATGGCTGGAGAGGAGGGCTGACGTACCAAAGGTCCACGTAGAGCTGGTGGAGTCCCTGGGGCATGAGACGAGGGTGTCCCCGCGCACAGGGAGCGAGCTGCCTGGCTCTTTGTTGTAGACTCCTGTAAATACGAACCTTAGGAATGACATTCAAGTCCTGCCTGATTGAAACTTTTTATTGTCCTTGAAACAAAAGACGTTTGAACAAACACATACCCACACACACAAACCCAATCCACAGGGAGCAAGTTCCAGATTTCAATGGTTTGCTGTGTGGAAGAGCCCGCGGGAGCGCAGCGTCCGGCCCACACTCATGTTCTATATTGTAAATAGAGTTATGACCAGTCCCTGAAACAGCAGCTGGGGAGCTGGAGGAGAGGGCAGCCCTTGCCGGACTTTAGGGACTCAGCTATTTGTCAGTTTGGATCTCTTTTGGAACGTTGTCACTGTGCCCACAAGCTGCAGGGTCCCTAGGGACTGCCCGGTGCCATAGGCAAGGGCTGTGCCAGGGGGGTCTCTGGTGTCCCAGTGCCCGATGGCAGGAGAAGGGATGAGGACATCCCCAGGCAAGGGACCGGCTGGGTCCGGAGAAGCCCTCAGTCCCACTCTGCTGGCAGGGGGTCGTCGTCAGCTGCAGCACCTCAACCCCTCGCCTGGTGCCTCCGCTGGGAAAGGGGCTGCTGATGGGGCCGGCTGTGCCATGCCTTCGACCTCCGTCCTGTCCGCCTGTAAGCCACCATTGCCTTCGTCAGGAGGAGCGTTGTCTCAGGGTCACGCCGGGGGCTGCCGAGCCCCTGCCTGCTGGAGTCCCACCGCCCTTAGGCCCCAGGGCCACTCTCACGGGCTCCAGCTTTCTCTTCCATTGCCCAGTCCCTGCTGCCCCGGCCCCCTCTCAGGGGTGACACCATGCAGGCAGTGGGGACGGCGCTCCTGGAGATGTGTACATCGCAGAGGGGGTGCCCAGGTGCCCTCCTGAGCATCTCTGTCTGCTTTTCGGGGGGACCCTGGCAGAAGGAGTCTGGGGGACTCACACCTCATTCCCGGGTCATCCTCCCTGGCTCCTCCCTCCCTGCTGGGATGTGGGGACAGGCTGTGCTGCACCCTTGTTCTTCCCATACTCGCACATCGCATCAGTCGTCTTCATCTCTGGGATCTTCCTTAGGGAGTGAGGCCAGTGGTAGCTGCAGGATGCTTTCCCCCGGTCTGCACATGGGGAGAGCCTGGGGCTCTTCTTGCCAACAGCCCGACCAGCACAGGGTGCCCGCAGGACCCTCTGCCCACCTCCCCCCAGCAGCCCCTCTGAGCAGCTCCTCTCCCTTTGCTTTGGCGGTGCCAACTCCCGGTGCCCTGCATGGACATGGTGCCCTAGCCATGCTCCCCACCTGCCCCAGCACCTCGGGGTGCCAATGGGGGGCAGGACCCCCCTCCTGGCCCCTGCTGCTGCTCCTCACCCAGTGTGGGGTGGGTGTGTGGCTCCGGGGGATGTCCCGCTGGTGGTGCCCGCTCTGCTGGCGGGGCCTCGTTCTCCTGGCCTGGCTGCCTGAGCAGGTCATGCTCCTGAACTTGTTTTTAATTGTAGCTCTGTAGTTTCAGGGCCTAACTGGGCAGAATGTGCAATTTGGCCACGCTGGCCAAGATCTCTGACTCCACTGCCAACTCGACTGCTCACACCTCCCCGTGGCTCTGGCCGTGTCTGGTGCCCCTCCTGGGGACCCCCCTGGCAGAGTCAGATCTGAGGGGTGCTTGTCCAAGAGCAGCTTTCCCAGGCTACTGCCTGCGGATAGGCTCCCTTCCTTCCACTCGGGGTCACCAGAAGGATCCTGATGCTCCAAGCAGTGTGGCTGGGGTGGCTGTCTTGTCTCGTGGAGCACCTGGCGATGTTCTCAGTGCAAGCGTGTTGCAAACTGGGGAGAAGTGTAGAGGAGACGGGTCCCCAGGGAACTCAGAGGGGTGGAAAGGATGGGTAATGCAGGAATGGGGCTATTGGGATTGGAACCACTGGGATGGGTTCTGTGGGTTTGGGTACCATGGGGGTGGATATTATGTGGATGGGCATCACGGGGATGAGTGCCATGAGGATGGGAGCCATAAAGATAGGTGCCATTGAGATGGGAGCCATAGGGATGGGTGTCATTGAGATGGGAGCCATGGGGATGGGAACCATTGGGATGGGTTCTGCAAAGACGGGTACCACTGGGATGAATGCCATTGGGAAGAAGATACAGGGGGATTATGTGTCTCCTTTGGGGATGCTCAGAGGGTTGGTGGGGCTGGGTTTTTGAATGCAAGCACAGTGGGGAGAAGTCTTGGAGGGTGTCTTGGAGTGGGGAGGGTGTCTTGGAGGGTGAGGGTAAGGGTGGGTGTATAGTGAGGAAAAGGAAGGACAGAGCGAATGGGTCCTCCATAGGGTGCCAAGGCTGGCAATGGGTCCCTTGGGAGGAAAAAACCCTGGACATTTGTACTAGGAGAAGGGACAATGGGAATGAAAGTTGGTATCACTGGGGACCAGTCCTGAGGGTGGGGAAAAAGAAGAGGTGCCATTGGTAAGAAGCTCATTTGCACAATTATAAGCCAGAAGGATAAAGCCTCCGTGCACGTGGGGGGATACTCCCCACGAGCTCCAGTCTAGACAAGCACAGGGAAGAGGAGAGGGTGGGACGCCTCTGTAGGGGGCTTACTGCATCTCACACTGCACTAGGACAAGCCAGGGGTAAAACCAAAGGTGGGAGCCAGGGAGCAGGCGGGCTGCGTGGGAAGGATCTAAGCGACCCCTTTGTAGCTCTTCAGTGTTGGTTCTATTTATACGAGATTTCATTTCCTTGCTTGTGATGCCTTGTTTTTTGTACAGTTTTATGTACATGCAGGTGTAGCTTTTCTAAAGGAGAAATCCTATGGCAGAGTAAAGTACCCAACTATTTTTCAGATGGTGACCTATGTCTAAGGCAATGCCTCTTGCTAAGGTTGTATTGCTCTCAATGTGTAATGCATTTCCCTGTGCGGGGAAGGCTTTCGGCCTTGGGCTTGGTTTTCCCCGGGCGCTGTGAGCACAATTGATTCCCTTGTAACTCTTTCTGTTCAGAGCAGTAAGCATGACACCGTCGTGATCCCCTTTCCGTTCTCTCCTGTTCTGTTTGTTTGCTGAGCTGTCAGATGACCAACTCCATTGTAATTAGCCCTTCCTAAAGCTTTACAATAAAAGTGTGAAAACCCGGGTGCTGTGCCTGGCGTCTCCTTCCCACATCTCGCATCCCACAGCAGAGAACACACACAGGAAACGAGGAGCCTCACCACTGCTCATCCGAGCCCATTTCTCACCCCTCACCCTCTCCTCTACCACACAGCATTTCCTATAGGTTCTTTAGCTCTGTTGATAACATCTGGGCCATCTCACAGCGGGAGTGGTGGCTGGGTTTCCCTGCCTGCCCCTGTGCAGAAATCCATGAGGCTCATTGCAGAGGGTGCCATGCACAGCTCTTTGCTGAGCTGCAGGGCTGGGGTTTTCCATGGCACCAGGAGCTAGCTTAGGAGCCACTGACAGTGTCCCTGGGATGGAAGAGCTTCCAAATGGAGGTGATTGCTTGCACAGCAGTGATTTATGGACCTCTCTTCTACTATCTCCACCCACTCTGAGTTCTTCTATTGACCATGCACGGGGGATGCGGTGCTGCTCACCCCAAGGGGCCATGGCCAAGCTGCGCTTAGGATAGGGTGCAGAGATGGGGATTATGGCACCAGGGCCACATCTCCAGGTGCCAGAACCCCACAGCTAGCACAGGGGCAGGCAGCAAGAAAACTCCCAGAGCTGTCAGCACCCACAGAATCACAGAATTGTAAGGGTTGGAAGGGACCTCCACAGATCATCGAGTCCAACCCCCCTGCCAAAGCAGGTTCACCCATCCACCCCCAGGTTAGAGGGGACCACCACAGGGCGCTTTCTAAGCAGAGTCCCCATCCCAGGACATCTCTGTCCATCTCTGGCTTTTCACTGTGCCATTGCTCCTTATGTTCCCTTCTCCTTCCATTAAGCCCAGGCTGTGCAGCCCCCTGGTCACTCCACTTTGTGCTTCACTTCCCTTTTCTTTCAGCATAGAACCTCCTGCACTCCCTGCTATCTTCTCTTTCCTTACCACACCCCCGCCTCTCTCCCTGCACCCATCCATGCAGCAAACCTTCCTCACCCCCTCAGCACAGCCCTGAGCATCCACACCACTACAGCTGCTCTGGAAACTGTTTGGTTTCCATGGCAGCCACTATCGATCAGCGGGGTGGGAGGGGATGCTGCTGGGAGGATGCTGCTGCCGCCCTGCATGCCTGGGGCTGGCACACAGGGCTCCATATCGCCTGTAGAGTGGGTTTGGAGAGCCTGGGCAGCCCCATATTGGGAGGGTTGATCCCAGAGTGGTCCCACATGGCTGGGAATCATGAGGATCCAAAATGGAGATGAGTGACAAAATCACGGTGTTCTTGTTGGGTCCACAAGCGTTGCTCCAGGCTAAAGAGGGGTGGGTGGAAGTGGGGAAGGACCTCCTGCCTGCTGCCTGATGGCCTCTCCTGGCTGGGAACATCCAAAAAAGAGGCAGTGCTGCCAGACTGGGACAGCATGGGAAGGGGACTGTGCGCTGCATGAGCTTTGGTCTGACTCAGATTCTCCAGCTCATCTGCTGCAAAAGGCTCCTCGCCTCACTGCACTGCAGGGCCTGAGTGTGCTCTGGGAAGGTGCCAGGCCAGGAACTTGTGTTTTTGATGGAAATCTCTATTCTGCCATCCCCTGAGGGCCCCACCTTGCAGCTTCAGCTGTGCAGCGCTGACAGATTCATCCCCAATGCTCACAGGCTAGCACAGATGAGGTCTGGGATCTTTCTGTCTTTGCCTGAGTGCAGCAGCACCATCTTCCTAATGGAGACTGCCTCTCCCAGGGCTCTCTCCCAGCAGGGCTCTGTTTAGTAAAATCATTGTGAAGTTTAAATTGATGTTGTCAGTAAGCAGAGGAGATTGTGTTTACTTGGTTCCCTGACTCAGTTCTTCCCTTCTGGCATTCCTGCAAGCCTGAAACGGGGAATTGGGTGAAAATCGCAGAACTGCCTCATCCATTTTCCCTGAACCTTTAAAGAAATACAGTGATACTGGGGTAGCAGACCCAGCGGGAGGGCGAAGGGAGTCAGTAGAGCTCTGCACAGACCTGGACGAGGTGGCCAGATGAGATCTCCCATTGTGGTGACTTGCTGAGGTGAGTGATGGGCTGGCAGAGCACTCACTCCAGCTGTGGCTGCAGGTGTACAGCAATAGGGGAGTCTGGGGTAGTTGGCAGCAACTGAGGAGCTGTTCCCATCCCTCTGGCGGGGGATGTGTTGTATGCCACGATGTCCATATGCTCCTGAGGGACCGCAGAGCAGGAATGGTCATGGGGAGGACAGTGATGGCCTTTACCCCCTAAATCAACAGTGAGGAAGAAGATCAGGAGCTGGGGAAGCTCAAATCCTCCTTCTCTGTTGGCTGCAGGGAGGTGGTGGCCACTGTGCTCATCCTTCTGTGTACCACCATAAAGAGGATGAGTAAGGCCACAAATCCCATCCCTGCCTGTGTCGGTGCAGCCCCAACAACAGGCTGGGTGTTGTGCTGCAGAGAAGCCCCTGTAATCGCCTGCAGGATGATTGGGATTTGTAAGCAGTAGGGGGTGGAGGGGCCCTACCTGGCTGGCGCTGTGATGGAGGGGATTTAGAAGATTTGAGGCAGCACAGCCCCCTCAGCGGGAGGCTCTCAAGCTGGATCCCCAGCAGAGCATGCAGCTCTGCTTATTCCCTGAGGCAGACTGACAGTGAGAGGGCTGGGGTGCCAGCGGGCGAGCAGGAGCCTGTGCTCCCTGAGGGAAAGGAACTGGCACCCTCCAGTAATGGGGGAGAAGAGCAGCTCTGCAGCCACACACTTGACTCCCAGCAGCTCTACCAGCTCTGCGCCCCTTGTACCTTTCCCATCCGCATTCCCTCCCTTTGTTGCAGATCCTGCAGCTGCTGGATTTCCCCATCACCACAGCAGGAGTTGCAGGCACCGTGTTTCCTCCCCTCCAGGAGTGCACCCTGCCCTCTCCCCCATCTGCCCATGCAGCAGAACCACTCTTAACAATGGGGTTTGGGATAAACAGCCCTAATGGGATCAGTGCAAATGGAGCTGCGCTCTGCTCCACGTTCCTTTGCCAAGCAGATTTCTCCATCCCCACCTATCAGCTCCAGCTCCAGCACTTCTCACACAGGGCAGCTCCCCCTTCTCACTGTCCTGGTGCAGCAGCTATTGGTGTTCCTCAGCTCTCTCTCTCCACCCTGATCTCATTACAGGCAGCCGCTGGCTGTCGAAGAGCCCACTTTTACTCTGTGAAGCAGCCCCAAATCCATAAATCACCAGGTTGGCCTCTGGAGAAAAGAAGGTGTTTTTTTTTTTCCTCTCTTTTCAGGAGGCTTTAAAGGAGAGGTTTTCAGTGTTAGGGTGGACTCCAAAACCCTCCTCCTGCCTCTCTTCTCACAGCTGCAGTGCTGCAGGGATGCTTGAGAGCCCTGCGATGCCTTTCAGCTGATTTTCCCTTCTCCTGCCCTATTAAATAATCCCCGCTCAGAGGAAGGCTTCTTTCCAGGCTCAGGATGGTTATTCCAAGACCGTACAAACCCAGGACAGTCCTTCATCTCATTGTTCATCAGGAAATGTCTAATAAAGGTCACCTTACCATGCCCGCACTCTAAACACCTCATCCCGACGTGCATCCCATGCAACCACTTCCACTTTGCCTCTCTGCAGCAAAGATCAAAGCAAGAGGAAAGCTTTGCAGGGAACAAATGGCTGCAAGCATTCAGCTACAAGCTGGGAAGGTGCAAAGTGCTGGGGTTGGAGGGAAAGGACTGGAGATCCTGCAGATGTCTGACCTGGGGCTGAAGCTCTCCATTGTATCACACAGGGGAAGGTGCTGGTGGCACCACGTTCCTGTGTTACTGCTGCAGCCACCTCCAGGTGCAGCTGGGATGCTCGGTGGTACCTCTCAAAGCCCACCAGATGGGCTGACACCTTTCCACTCTGCCCAGTGGAGGAGGTCTGCCATGGCACAGCTCCCTCACCAAATGCTTACCCAAACTTCTGTCTGCACCACCTGCTCCCAAATGGAATGAGGAGGGTGGGGAGAGCTGCTGTTTCCAAAGAGAGGAGAAACCATCTTCCCCTGCTTCTCAACCTGCTGAACTGTGCTCATGGCTCCAATTTGCAGGAGATAAAAGGAAAATTAAATGCATTTTCTTGTTCCAGAGCTATGCGTCCATCCCAAAGTGATGCTGGCACATACTCCACCAATGAAGGCTGAGCACACCACAGACAGCATTCAAACTCTTTGCAGATGTCACCCCTCAATCTCCCTTTGGGACAGGGTGATGTTCCAAATTAGGCTCAGCATCCCACCTTCCCGAGCCAAAACGAGAGGGAGGACAGGCTTGCACCCCACCATGGGGCTGAGCTTGGTGATTCAGCCCTGCCCTGCCTGGGACTGCACACAGGGGGTTTTCCAGAGCTGGACGTAAGTGGTAGAAGGGGGACGCTTCTCTGGGAGCATCTTCTGCTCCCCTAGCAGCAATCATGCAATCAATGCTTAGCAGAGAGAGCACTGCCCTGCAGAGGCAGCTCACAGTGGTGTGTACACCTCGAAGCAGGAGGGGGTCCCAGCAAGGCAGTGCTGTGTTGTGCATGGGGATACATATTTGTGGGGGGCTCAGGGCACATCATCGTGTGTCCCTGCATGCGCCAACTGAGCTGACACACAGCCACGGGCAGGTGTGTGTGTTGTGTTTGGCCGGGGGTGCCTATTATTCTTTATTAGTTTTCCTGTCTGTCTGACATATTCTTTATCACTCTGTCTCAATCTTTCACTCGCCCTCCTCTCCTCCCTCAATCATCCTCGATTAGTTTTTCTGTCGGCCTCCCCTCCCCATATCCCTCATCAGGCACTCGTCCTCTCCCTCCCCCACTCCTCCTCTCCCCACATCTCCCCTCTGTGCCATTTCCCTCCCTCCTGTTTCCTCTCCCCCAGCAGCCCGGAGCCCTCTTGGCTCTTTTCCAGGAGCTGGTGGCTTCTCCTCTGTGCGTTCCTTCTCCATCCCCTTTGCTGCCCCAGTTGTGGGCACAGGGGATCTTCCTTGCTGCCAGCAGCAGCCTGGGGATGCTGAGAGCCTCCGGTCCCCCTGCG